GAGGAGTAGTAGTAGTAGCAGCAGCAGCAGCAGTAGTAGCTGTAGTAGCAGTAGTAGCAGTAGTAGCTGTAGTAGTAGCAGTAGTAGTAGTAGTAGTAGTAGTAGCAGCAGCAGCAGCAGCAGTAGGACAGTAGTAGTGGTAGTGGCAGTGGTAGTGGTGGTGGTGTAGTAGTAGTAGTAGTAGCAGCAGCAGTAGTAGATGACGTTGTGGTGGTGGCGGTGGTGGTGGTGGTAGTTGTAAGTGTTGTGGTGGGAGCAGTAGTCGTAGTTGTAGTCGTAGTTGTAGTCGTAGTCGTAGTCGTCGTCGTCGTCGTCGTCATCGTAGTAGTAGTAGTAGTAGTAGTAGTAGTAGTAGTACAGTAGTAGTGGTAGTGGTAGTGATAGTGGTAGTGGTGGTGGTAGTAGTAATAGTCGTAGTAGTAGCAGTTGTAGTAGTGGTAATAGTAGTACTGATAGCAGTAGTAGTAGCAGTAGCACAAGCAGGAAGCAGTATGAGTAGGAGTATTAGTAGTAGTAGTAGTAGTAGTAGTAGTAGTAGTAGTAGTACTAGTAGTAGTAGTAGTAGTAGTAGTGGTAGTAATAGCAGTAGCAGCAGCAGGAGTAGAAGTGGTAGCAGTCGTGGTGGTGGTGGTGGTGGTGGTGGTGGCAGCTACCCTGCAAATGATATGTGTTTTGTTAGCTAGTCAACGCTTTTTATAGCACCACTGATGATACTTGTGAGTTGGCTCAGGCGAGTCTTGTACCAGTCCATGACGCACCGGGCATGGCTGCCGACGGTGGTGGTGGACGTCAATGATGCCGGTGAACCTTGGCAACGCTGGGAGGGCTTGAATGCAAGAGTGAGGTTTATTGATGTTAGCAGAAGATTTCCGTGCAATTGCCGTTGGCTTCTGTTCTCGAGCTTCCGGCGGTAACGACAAACCAGCAAAACAGAGCAGAATCTCGCACATCAGGTTGCGGGTAGAATACTTCAAGGCTGAGTCTCGGTGTCGAGGTTCTCGTCTGGCCCTTGTGTGTTCTGGATCAGTTTGTAGCGGGCATTGGGCATGGACTAGGCATGGATGGTTTCGGGTGTTACTGCACCTGGTATTGATCCTAGCATGAATGCACTCGGAACTCATGAACGGGCATGGATGCCATCAAGACCTGCTCACACAGGCATATGTTGGGTATCTTTACGCTTAGTAGTTCTAAGCCTAAGCCCAAGCCCCTTCCAGGACGTGGAGATTGAGATCAAGCCGCGGGTGTGGATTGCCCCAGCTGATCAGGCAAAACTTCTGCGGCAGGCCCATGGCTTGAAATCCGACATGTCAGTTCTTGTGCTTCCTTGCTGGTCGATGCCAAATTTAAAAAACCGAACTTAAGACAGAGTGATGATTGAGAAGTTAGTTTTAGTGGGTATGTTGCATTGGCACCACAGCAGAAGCCAGTCAGACAGTGGTTGTGAATGCCGAGTTTGAGGGCAAGGGGATTTCCTGACAACTCGCTTGAATGGGGTTCGGCAAGTGACAAGCCCGGACAGGCCTAACCGCCGACAATCGGTCAGGCATCGCCGGCTCTGAGACAGGAAGCACACCGCAAAACCCGCAGCCAAGTGTTTCAAACAGATGAAAAATTTTAGCAAGGCCGAGTTGCTGGCTTTGTGGCAAAGACACCCATGAAGCCACCGAAGCCTTGAGCTCCCACGGCCTCCGAGCTGAGCCGGAGGGCGTCTAGCTTCAGGAGTATGTCTGAGAGCGGAGGTTGAGCCTTTAGGCTGTCATGAACGGGGAGAGGCGATCTCAGCCATGCTTCTGGGTCTCACACATGTTTAGGATCATAGCTTGCCAGTGTGCTAAAGGCAAAGCCACCTTGGCCGCAATGGAGTCCCCGATCAACGAGGAGGATTCCCGGAGCTTCAGCACCAGAAAACCAGAAAAAGATTCGAAGTATTTCCCGGCACTTGAAAGGTTTCTGACTACTAATCGCAACCAGTCAGGGTAGAAGGCAGGAAGGCATGCCTTCCTTGGTTTTGCATAAGCAGCTGCCGAAACATTGGCTTGAAGTTGGGTCAAGCATGTCAAGACCCGGACTAGCGGACAAGCTGATGTGCAGACAGCTGATCCCCTGCAAACTAGCAGAGTGGCGCGATGAACTGTACACAGTCGGTTGCGAGCCCTCAGATTCTAGACAGGTGCAACAGCTGTCAGTGAATTTTCCTCGGCAATGGCACGATGAATGCAGCGAGTCGCACGGTGCGATGGCCCTTCCTGATTGCATCTCGCTCGTGATCAGCTTTTGCTGAATCAGAGAGCTCCAGTATGTGCATGAAGCCGGAGAGCTGCCTGCTCGCAGAGCATGTACCGGTGTGTAACCGCGGACCCCAAAGCCAACTGCCCGAAGTTGCCTGCCACAGCCAATGTATGACGATGTGCCGAGGCCCTCGTTTGGGGCTTTCTCGGCATTGCCTTCACTGCAACGTGCAGGCACTTGACGGGCTTGTCTGTAAGCCATGAGAGGCGTGCTTTGCCATGCCAGCCTGAGCATGGGAGGGGAAATTTCCATAGGGGGGCAAAGCTGTTTTCGTATCGCATCTTGCAAGGCTCGAGCCAGAGACGAGGAGTCGGCTGGCCTCAAGCCTTGAATCCGCTCCAATCAAAACTTGAGTCCCCAAAATCTCGCTGACGGTGGCTCGAGCCTGTTTTGCAAGTACGAGCTCTAAGCGTCTTGGTGCTGTCGACTGTCCTAGAGATCATGATGGCTCTCCTCATGGTTTTGGCTGGTTTGGGACTCGTGGTGGCCGAGCCGCCTGCTTCAGTGGTCAACTCCACACTACGTGCCAATGAGCCGCGCCACTTGGCCTCATGCGGCGTGGCTGGGGCGGTCGACTGTGGTGTATGCAAGTGCACCGATCGGATTGCTTGCCAGTGGTGCGACGGAAGTGGCGGCCCAGCAAGCATTGGGAGTGCGGGCCCCAGCAACAGCCCCGCCCCGGCACCGGCGAGCACCCACACCTCCGGTTCCAACGGCTTCTGCCCATCAAATCTGGTGAGCTGCGGTGTCTGCACGTGCACCACTCGAAGTTCTTGCCAGTACTGCAACGGCTACGGTGGTCCCGCCAGCATCAGCAGCAGTGGCAGTGGCAGTGGCAGCAGCAGCGGCAGCAGCGGCAGCAGCAGCGTCAGTGGCAGTGGCAGCAGCAGTATCAGCGGCAGTGGCAGTGTCAGTGGCGCCGTCAGTGCTGGCCATCGAGTCTCCGTGCCGTTTGCCGCCCTCTTGGCGCTTCCGTTCGCCTTTTCTCTTCGGATGTAGAGTCCGACACGGACCTCCAAGTTGATGAGCCGGGTGATGGGCATGTGTGAGGTTTGGCAGTTGGGGATGCTCTTCAGCTGTGGCATCTAGGTTTTGGCTGGTTGTTTCGCAATCCCAGGCGCATCACGCATCTTAGGCACAAAAGCTGCCGGTTCCATCTATGCTCAGGGAAGACGCCGAGGCCAGGCTCCCGCACGACCAGAGTCTGTATTCTGTGTTCTGAAGCCAGAAAGCCTAGCTCTGAGCCCATTTCAAGATCGGGTGACCAGGTCTCTGCATTGTTTTCTCAAGTTTCTTTCCACTGCGGCCAAGAGCGCTGCACACAGCCTGGTCAGCACCAGCCAAGTGTCCACCGAGATTGTGGAGCATTCCCCCGATTCGACATTTGCGATTTGATTCAGTAGCTTTGGCGGTGCTGCGCCGAGACGACCCGTGCATCTGTAAAGAATCTAGCGTTGCCTGCGGCTTTGGCAACTGTGCCTTAGCCCGAAGGGTCGGAGCCAAGTACGTCGTGCAGAAGGATACTGGCATTTACAGAGGCGATTGGAGTTACTCAGTTGAAAGGACGACGAGTTGCACTAGAAGTCTCATATTCGAGGCAATGGTCACTGCCAGGAGTAGTTAGAACATGGTAAAGTGCGTCGGAAACTCGTAGGAGAATGACGTCATACACAGTAACCTTAGGAACGCTTCCCAAATAAGTTCTCATGGTCAGCAGCAGTGCCGATAGTACGAGAAAGAACAGGCGAAAGCGAAGCTGTGGATGAGAATGAATACAATAGTTGCAGAGCCGGGACCAGTAGTACCAATCATGGCGACGTACGCATTGTTGAAAATTGTGGTTATCAGAGTCCGCAGTCATCATAGTCACCGCCGCCATGCAATCAAGAATGCGAGCTGACAAAAGAATCGGATAGGCTATGGGGCAATTGTGGGATATTGGTAGCAGTCTCAGTAAGCATGGTGAGGCTGCCGGGCCGTGGGTGGGCCCAGATGTCCTGCGACTGGCAGACTGGAGCGAGTTGGATTTGTGGACTTGTGGTTTAAGATGCTTTGTGTTTCTGATGTTGCTCGCCCGTTCCTTCTGCCAGTCACTCGCTCAATTCGTGCTGAGCTTTTGGTCGAGCCGAAGTTTCTTCCTCATGGGTGCTGCACCGATTGCCGAACCGCGTGTGGCCCGTCATGCCAGAAGGTTCGCATAGCCTCTGCAGTCTGTCCAAGGAAACCGTAGCAGACGCAGAGAGAATCGCAGAAACGCGGAGGCTCTTCGGCCGGGAGAGGCTCTGCTCGCCTCGGCGGTGCCTCTCGGAGGCCTCCAGCTGCTCATGATGGTTACAGCCGCGATAGTAGGGATGATAACAACTAGTACTTGCAGAAGTGGTAGGCAGGGGTAAACACGAAGTATTTTCTGCTGGCAGCTGCTGCCGCTGTTGGTTTAGAACACTGAGAATCCTCTTGGTGGAGTTTCAGTGCTGTCACAATGCGCCCTTCCCGCATTTGTACTTCTGGTGCTTGAAAATCTTACAACCACCGCCTGGAATCAAGATGTCAGCTCTCCCCCCCTCGTAGAGAGAGAGAGAGAGAGAGCGAGGGAAGGGGACGCGTGCTCCTTCTCTCTTGGCTGTGCAGAAGAAGAGACAGAGAGAGAGAGAGAGTGTGTTGTCACTATAGCTCGCCTCAGACCAACCAGAGATCGGTGCGTGCTTGCGTGCCCCGGGCAGTGGGGTGTGTGTTTCTCTCACTGTGTGGAAGAAGGGTGGCGTACGCCAGTCTCATTTGGGGAAAAACAAACGAACAAAAACAAACACACACACACACACAAATCCTAAGTGACACTGTTGCACAAAGCGAGAGAGTTAGTGACGCAGCATTGGCCCGAGATGCAATACACGAATAGTTCGATGTCCACAGCAAGAGTACGAGCTATCCAGAACCCTGAACTTCAGCAAACCCAATAAACAGAATGATCTACGCCTGTGACCTCCAGATATGAGCTGTTGAGGAATCCGAAGCTCTTGCCCTACTCGGTGTCGAGCTGGACGAGGCCCGAACTTTTGTTCTGGGTCTGAGTTTTTATTTGTTTCTTCCGATCGGGCGTGCGTACGCATGTAAGGGGTCGTACATAGCATACAAGCAAACACACAAACAAGCAAGCAAGCAAACAAGCAAACAAGCAAACAAACACACAAACAACCACACAATCAAACAATCAAACAATCAAACAATCAAACAACCAAACAACCAAGCAACCAAACAATCAAACAATCAAACAATCAAACAATCATACATACATACATACATACATACATACATACATGCCATTTGATGGCAGTTTTATCTTCAAGTCTGCCAATTACAGCCAGTGGAGTCCCGGTTGTCCAGGTCCGACAGTTGAGCATAGACCCTGGCAGACAGGATCGACCACCACATCCCGAGAATCCTATGCGATAATCCGAGACCCTGCAGCCCGCAACGCTTAGTCTCGGATACCTCTTAAAGCACAGACAATGCTTTGTGCCCAGAGCTCCGGAACACTCGTTTGAGGTCGACTTGTCCACTGCCCTTCGCCGTGCTTTCCGCTCCAAGGCTTCTGAAGTTGTTTTGGTATTTCAGCACCAATGAGGACATTTCTACCCTTGAGAATGCCGCAGACGTGCAACGAAAAACACAAGGACGTCTTTTTTGGGTGGGTGTTGTGGATGGCCAGGGCTTTGTGTGATGCCGTTGTCCGAGGCTGTGACTTCTTTCTTTCCGGCCTGCAGTGTTTGGAGGTTTCGGTGCTTGTTTTGGCTGGTGGGGCCTTGAAAGTTTTGTTCAGATTGCAACCATCTCCGAGGCTACAGATCGAAGATCCGTGTGCGGGGAAGCTTCAAGCTGCATAGTTGGTACTGGAGTCATGGGCTTTTGAAGACTGAGAATTAAATCAGAGTAGAGATTCTCTGGATAGGCCTAGGGAAACCTGTGCCCCGAAAGGCAAAGCTGGTGCACCCAGATGTTGGAGGAAGCAAAGAGGCCAAAGAGTTGGTGGGTGGGTGCTAGGGTCTGTCTAAGTTTGGCGCAGGGCTTCGTGTATGGGATCTCACTCTACGGGTTTCTTTGAGGAATCTGAGCCAGCTGCGGTGTTTGCAGTTCTCCTTTCCGTCGGCACTGAGTTCGTGCATCTTCTGGATTCTGGATTTTCGGCATATCTCCCAGATCAGAGGCACCTTCATGTCAGCAGTATTTTTAACCTCTTAGCCAACATCGGGAAATTCAAAGATTTCGCTGATCGAGCGCCGGAACAGCGGGCCACACGGCGGTTTTGTGCCGTAGCAAATTTTGGATCCAGGCACCACGTGTGGTCGTTTATTCGTGTCTGTTGTTCTAGTTACAAGTTACAAGCAAACAGCAATGAAAGCGAGTTTGAGCCAGAGGACACCAACAGGACTGTGACGTGTGCCCTGAATCCTCAGCTCGACCCTCCGCGCAGATTGCATGTCGGCATGGGAAAACTACATACGGCCCAGCCAAAGAAATTCCTGGCAAGATGGCTGGGGTACCAAAGGGCTTGGCAAAGGCAAGGCTAGACACACAAACATGAGGTTTCCTGCAACTTAAGCTCATCTTCTGCTCAAAATTCAGTCTTGGACGGGTCTGGATTACTGTGCGGGAGAACAGGCCACGGTTTCGTCTGTGCAGGCAGAGTTTCGTCAGCACGGGGTTCGAGGTTGGGTTGTGCTAGTACTATTGACTAGATGGGGGCCGGCGCTGCCCTCCTGCGTAGCAAACGTGCTGTTGAAATAACCCGAGCCAAGTGCACCAGACGTCTCTAATAGTTCTTGCCCAAATCCCCTTGGTGCTCTAAGCTGCCGAAAACGAAACCCTCAAAACCCTCGGAATCCTAACCCCGATGCTAGGGTACGGGATTAGGGATCTTATTTTTTGGGAGGAGTATGAGTTAAAGCGACCTCGACCCCAAGCTGGCAGCCAGCGCCGCAGCAAAGAGCCGAAACCACGCCTCCGGGCCCTGCGGTTTGAAAATATACATGTAAGTAGCCATACACGATCAGGAAGTTAAGCTTAAGGTGGAGACAAAATTTGAGCGACATCACGCCGAGTTCCGTGGTTTCGGGCTTCGGGACTGAGACCTCTCGAATTCCAAGAGTTAAGGTCTCGAACCGGGGGTGCCATAGGTTGTCGTCAAGGTGTGGAGGACTTCGCCTTGGGGCAGAGGACCTCCACATCTCAGAGCTTTGGCCTTTGTGAAAGGCCTTTCACAGTGCAAGTGAAGCTTTCAAGCAGAAGGTGTCGCGTGCAGCTGTGCCGAAATTGGCCCTGAGGGCTGCTTGGACAGGTGGAGGACCTCGCCCTAGGGTCCCACCTGCTGCAATCGGCCATTGAATGTCCCGTTTTCTCTTGCAGAGCCGAACCTTTCTCAGACCTCGCCTTAGTTCAGAGGACTGCGCAGCAGCCAAAAGTTTTGTTGTCGCCGACTTTGGGTGTGCCTGCAACGCAGGAGGGCTGCTGTGCACGTGGAGGTCAACCAGGTGGGCTGAGACAGATGTTTTGCACCTCTGAGAGCGGTAGG